TGAGAGCGGCGGGTGAACGCAATCAAAGTCGGGGCCAGTGTAGCGTCCAGCAAACGGCAACGAGAAATTTATACGGATTGATTCAGTAAATTGACGTTGGTCAGAAGTGCGCAACGTGTTCTACCGTGACGGGTGAACATTTTTAGTTTGGTTTATTTAGGGGGAGGCATAATAGTTCCATCGTGCGAAACGGCAGCTTGCTCTAATATTTGCAATAGTATCTATTTAAAAGACTACTCAGAAATTTGACATATAGCCAGAGCTCCAATTATGGGACATATAATGCAGTTCGTAAGTGCTTCAAGCAGTTAATCTTAATTTAAATTTTAAATATTTTTTCACTGTATATGCACACATAGATATGTATATACATACATTTATCCAAATACATATATATAGAAATGCGATCTGGATTTGCATTGCTTTGTTTGCCTTTGATTTCCTCTTTATTTCTTCTGATTACGATATAACTGTGAGTGCGTGCGTGTATGTGTACTTGCGGGTGTGTGCTTGCACTGCATTGTGGATGCTTTATCTAACTGCAAAAATGTATATACAGAGCTTTTGTCCTTGACCTTGCTTACTTCATCTCTCATAGTCTGCATGCTCTGCTCTCTTTTGCTTTTCTCAATTTTCTCACCCCTTCCTATGGAAAGCTCACTGATGAAAAGTAAAAGTTTCTTATCACGTTTTCCAAATATTATGCAAATTAATTATACGCATGTTTCTTTTTGCAGAAGTTGCTAACTTATTAATCTAATCACATATAATAATACTACCGATTGTGGGAATATTATTGCCTTTTCTATATTTTTGGATTACAGCTAATCATTTCGAATTTTTCGTTTGACTACTTATCTTTAAGGCCACAGTTCAAGCCCTGCAGCTAGCACCGTTTTTTATTAGTTTGGTGCTTTATTTTTCGCTGGTGCGTAAAGATCCAGAGGGTGAACTATGGACAACTGTGCTCAAGTGCTTGCCCATTGTGGCATTGATGTTTTATGTTTTGATCAAGGGATTTTCGCTTAACAAGCAGTAAGCTTTCTCTTATCTTGTTTTCATTAAGCGCTTTTCACTTAAATTATATCCAATTTTTTTAGATTTCGCCGTTCACAATTAATTCTGCTTGGCTTAGTGTTTTCATGTGGCGGCGATGCTTTACTCAATGTTAATCTGTTTCCCTTCGGAATGATTTCCTTTGGCGTGGCGCACATTTTCTACATAAACGCATTTGGCTGGCATCCGCTTAAGTGGATAATCGGAGTCTGTCTTTATGTGCCGGTTATTATTTGTGAGTATTGTAAAAGTAAATTTTTGAACTCTCATTAATCTATTCTTTGTGTACTTTCCAGTTGTTGTTTTTGTGCGCAAATACTTGGATGAGATACTCGTGATTGGTGTACCCATCTATTGTGTCCTGATCATCACCATGTTGTGGCGTGCCTTGGCACGAGCTGTTGATACGAAGAGCTATTTGGCCAGTTTCTGTGCCCTTGGCGCTGTCCTGTTTGTGATATCGGATGCACTTATTGCAGTTACCATGTTCCTGAGTGTAGAGCTGCCTTCGCCACGACTGCAAATCATGATCACCTACTATGCTGCTCAGTTTGCTATTGCGTTGAGCACTGCCGATGACGGACCGTTGCAGCCATGTAAGAACAAAGACAAATAATGTTGTCAATTGCTCAATTAATTTTTCAAACGCAACCACCAAAATATGTACTTCCAAAATATTAGAGTAGTTGTTAAAGCTATTTAGTTGTGATACCAATTATTTGTTAAAAATAAATATCAAACATGTTAAATCAATTTCAAACATAACGAACTTCTTTTGTTTACATACACCACGGTTTTATAGCAGTCAGAGCTACGTAGCGCAACATAAACAGAGTTGCATGTGATGAACGCTAAGGTGACCATTGCACGCGTTTATGTTGACATTTTCTTGCCATTTTCATTACCGCTTGACTCTATCGGCTTGGAATCGTATTTGTTATTCGTTAATATATTATTTTAATCACAGAAAATGGGTCCGTCGGAGTTTAAGCTAAACAATCCCCCCGAGGACCTTATCTCGGCTGTCAAATTTGGCTCAAAATCCAACCAGTATATGGCAGCATCATCTTGGGACGGAACGCTTCGCTTCTACGATGTGGCGGCAAACTCAATGCGCCAAAAATTTGTACAGGATGCTCCTATCTTGGATTGTGCCTTCATGGTTTGTTTCATACATTCTAATCCATGTTAAGTGGAGCCGTAACTATTTACACTTTTTACAGAATATTGTACATGTGGTGAGTGGTGGCCTGGACAATCAACTTCGGATGTACGATGTGAATACTCAAGCTGAAACTCTGGTGGGCTCCCACGATGACCCCATTCGTTGTGTGGAGCATGCGGAGTATGTCAATGGCATCCTGACCGGTAGCTGGGATAAGACAGTCAAACTTTGGGACATGCGCGAAAAGCGCTGTGTTGGATGCTTTGAGCAGAACAACGGCAAGGTTTACTCCATGTCTGTGATTGATGAGAAGATTGTAGTAGCCACATCCGATCGCAAGGTCTTAATTTGGGATTTGCGTAAAACAGATAGTTATATTATGAAACGCGAGTCATCATTGAAGTATCAAACGCGCTGTATTCGTCTATTCCCTAATAAGGAAGGTTATGTCATGTCCTCCATTGAGGGGCGCGTGGCTGTGGAATACCTCGACCACGATCCTGAGGTGCAACGTCGAAAGTTTGCATTCAAATGTCATCGCAACAGAGATAATAATATTGAGCAAATTTATCCAGTTAATGCGGTTAGTTTCCACAATATTTATCACACATTCGCCACCGGCGGCTCCGATTGCATCGTTAACATTTGGGATGGCTTCAACAAAAAGCGTCTGTGCCAGTTCCACGAGTATGACACATCTATATCATCACTGAACTTCAGTGCCGATGGCAGCGCCCTTGCCATTGGCTGCTCATACTTGGATCAATTCACAAAGACACCTGATACAGTGCCTAGTCCGGCCATTTATATACGCTACCCGACTGACCAAGAAACAAAACAGAAATAACTATAAGTAACAAATACTTTAATTACAATTAACTCTGGATCAACTGATTAAATGCATTTCGATTATAGTTTTGAAGTTATTTGAGCATACGCATCCTTAAGCAGCGACCACAAAAGCCGAGCCACTATGTAGCCCAGTTCGACGAAGCTCAGCGTCGATGCACCCACATAAAGGCCTAGAATGCCGCCAAAGCCAGCGACCCAATCGACAAAGCTGTACCTTAGCTTAGTTTCAATCTTCATCAGAACCCGCTGGCCATAATAGATCTCTGCCTTGATTCGTTTTGAGATTGTGGTATTTGTGGCATTGAAGCTGGAGTGAAAGAAGGCTTGCATGAGGCCAGAGAAGCTGAACGGTAAATTGTGACTTACTAGTCGAAACGGCGCACATTCAAATACGTCTGGTAGAGTTGAGTGTTGCAACTGTCTGGGCAGGGGCAGAGCTGACCCCGCCGTGGGTCCTTAATATATTTATCCTGGTCAATGGTTTTCACATACCCAAAGACATCCGTGTGGCGATGAAGGCACGCAAAATCCTGCACAGTGCACTCCTTAGTATCGTCTTTGAGACGGATGGGATTGGTTATCAATATATACTTGAGTTGCTGAACTCACCTATATCTGGCAAATACAAAGGCATGGAGCAATTGCAAGCATGAATGACACTCCACTGTAGGCAAGTGAAAATGCAATTGGTGCGACTGTAGGGTAGATCCTTGTACGGATAGTAGGGATGTCGCTCGTGCTGATGAGATTAGCTTAGTCGATGTTAGTTAGCGAGAATTTGTGAACTTACCTCGAAGTAGCAGCGTCGCTTGACAGGATCCATGGTCTCGGTGTTTTTGGACGTTTGGATGACCATCGGATCAATTGACACAAAGTTTTCCGTGTTCTCATAGAGATGGTAGTTCATGCTGTTTGACCATTGATTGGACTCCTTGATCATTAGCTGAAATGCAAGTGTTGCTCAGTATTATTCGTTATTTAATTTATAAAGACTCGATGTGTCCACCTACATGCATAGAAAAGGGCACCTGGGTGCCAGCGCGCAAGAAGGTATCGTTGAGGTGCAGCATAAACTTGAGGCCAGAGCCTTCTCCGGCTGTGCTTATCTTGAAGGGATAAAACTCACTGATCAGCTTCTTTTTGCGCGATTCTTCGGATATCAACGAGTTAAAAACCAAGCAGACACCTTTCTCAGTGTACTCCGCCACAAACAGCTGACAGCAATCGTATTTGGTTTCATCGAAGAAGCAGGAGTCCGGCTCGAAGAGCTCATCGCAGCGGTAGGCCAAATAACTGGCCAGCTTGATGAGGCTCACGTTCGCCAGCGCCGTTAGATTTCGCTTGGATAGCGCGCCGAGTGTTTGAAACTTGCCAAAGTTGAGCTGCTCCATTTGAACGAGTAGCTGGTGGAAGGACTCACGCGTGTATGAATCAGCATTCCTGGGCAGGAAGCGGTGCTCAGCCGTTGAGGCGCGCAGCCAGTTAACATGATTGAAGGGACAAATAGCAACCGCCGGAAATTGAATATTATAAACGGGATACTGTGTCGTCTCCACCACGCTGACCAGCTGCTGTTCACTGTGCTGATGCTCCAGCATGGAGAAGATGACCAATAGTCCCACCGTAGCTGTCAGCACTACAATAAGCCAAAAGTAGCGAGCGTAAATATGCTTCTCCTCTATGACATTCTGAATGCCATGGATCGTCGAGTGGGCAAACTCTCTGCGCAGCATCTTCTCATACTTTTGCCGCAGATGCTGCGTCCTGAATCGCTGCAGTCCCTGGGTGAGCTTGGCTCGCGGCGCCACGAGCTCCTTGGTGTACAGCAACATGGTAACTGAGTAGAGCAGCGTTGACAGCCTTGCGCTAAAGTTCTTATTGATTATTAATGAAGGTGCGTGGGCGTGGTCAAGTAAAAAACGTATGATTACTCTATATATGGCAATCGAAACTTTTATTAGTGAGAATTACAAAAATCGGAAGTTAAAGCTATAATTTATGATTTGGGTGCCAGGCTCTGCTGCACCAACTTCAGGTGATTCTTAAGCAGGCAGTCAGCGCCGCGATAAGCCCATTCGCATGCGTTCGAGCCCTGCTCGTTCTTGTCCAAACAGGCCTCAATCTGGCCGTGCAGCACATCGTCGTGGTTGGCATGGCCACGGCTCAGCTGTGTATGAATGTTCTCCACATTGTAGCCAGACTGGTTGTCGAACAGCCCGAACTTGGTGAAGACGCACTTCAGATAGCACTGAGTCTGGGCATCATTGGGATAGACCCATTTCTGGTATTGCTCCACAAGCTCATTGGGTATTTTCAGTTCCTTGACGCATGCCTCACGATAGCTCAGCATATCCTCCTTGTTCTTGATCACATACTCGGCTGAGACCTGTGAGTGAGTAGATTGTGCAATACATCGATCGCTTGAATAGTCTTCAAAGTACTCACCAGGCCAATGAGCATGCAGATGGCAACGAGATATTTCATTTTGATTCCTTGGGTGTGCTCGGCTCGACGATCAAACTTCGACTGTGAGACGTAGGGCCCTACACAGCCACTATTTATACCTGTCGGCGTCGACTATCAGCTTCATCTACCTACTCTTAAACAAAGAGGGAACCTTTTTTCATAGAGGCAAAACGAATTGAATATTCTTTTTTTTGGTTGGATAATAGTTTTATATTTCTTATGGAATTGTTAGTATTTCAGGAAATAATTGTCTCTTAATTTTTGAAGGCCTAAGGAACTGAAGTTTATACATATTAGTTGTTGTTTTTTATTTTGGTTTTCTTTTATTTTATTATTAATTTTGTTTTTGTTTATATACATATACTTTTTAATAGGTTTTCTTAAAATGTTCTTTCAAATATGGAAAATATATTTTTTCATATATATACATAGTAAGACTAATGTCATTAGAGATTATTATATGCAGTTTATGCATTTAAAGGGGATAGCTATTGATTATGCAAATAAACTAAATTAAATTCCGTTAATAGCATAAACAAAAAACATCTTTAATTTGTTTAAGCTTACTATCATATATGTATGTATGTATATACCATATAACAGAAATACTGTAGTTGACATTTAATAATATTGTAGAGTATGAATTAGTTTAAATTAGCTCGAGAATGTTATTATGAAAGGTTCAACGTTTGCTGGGTCGCCTGTTGAGTTGTGGAGGGCTGCGATTGAAATCTTGTTCTCGGGTCAAAGAATCTTCACGTATTTGCTTGAGGATAATTTTGTTGGATAAGTGGAATCTCGTCAATGCGCACTCACAGTCGTTGCAGTTGCGCGCCTTGGAAATTTTCCACTGGGACGACAGGTAGCCAAAAAATATATTCAATAAGACAATGCGTTTAGGGTTTCTTTTTCTCTTTCTTAATTTATTTCGTTCTGCTTATCCCTGCTATTCGTTCATGTTCTTTTGATTACAGGTAACAACACGTGAGACTCTTTTAACTTCGAGATCAGGTTTAATGAGCTGTGGTGTGGGTTTGCTGCAGCAAGTAATGCGATCCAATAGGCTGTTTATGGCTCCGACCACCGATAGACCCAAAAACAAACCAGCTATGCCCCCATACGAAACTGTGGAATAATTAAAACAATCAGAAACTAAGAAAACGCTGAGAAGATCCACACATAAAAAACCTCACCCATCAAGTCAAGCATTGTTATATGCAGAGTGGAGCGATACGAGAAAAGGGTCTCCTCCTGAAAGTAGACGTCAATCTCAAACTGATTACCTCTGCTGTCGGAGCTGCTTAGCCGATCCGTGAATGTAGCTGCATGATACTGAGTGTGGTCACAGATGGGATAGCACTTGCAACGGGTGGTATTGAAGACACTGTTCTTAGACTCCTCAATTATGTTGCTCATGTAAAAGAGTGAGACTTTGCGAACTCGTTGATTAACTAACGTTCTAACTCTGCCTGCCAAACACTTACCTCCGTTCTTTTGCATGCACAGCAAATCCGCAGTGGTGCACTGGCGCAGGGGCTCCTCATGTGTCTGGTCTACATTGATTGGGAATAGTTTGTGAGTACAGTTACACTTCCTGGATATGTAGGTCATATGGCATCTGACAATGCACTCTGAATAGGACTGCTTCAGCTCGTCGATAAAATAACAATATCGCTTATTCACGGGGCGGGCCCTAACAGCTGGCTCGGCCGTAAAGTGCCGCGGCTGCAATCCGACAACAATCCGATCATCTGTGGAATACGTCACACTGGAACCCACATACTGACCCGGCTCTTGCACAATGACCTTTTGAGAGAAGAATTGAAGTTATATTTTGAAGAGAATCATTGAAGAGAATCATTGCGGATATCTGCTTGGCATCTTTAGGTATCGTAGCTATAAATTCGTAATTCGTAATTACTTTTATTAGAAACAAAATTATAGTATTGCCCTAGTCCCCAATACCACTCAATAATATTATTTCACTTATTCCACTTTTTTGTTTGTTTACGTAATATGCAGTTAGTTCCGATAATGAAATGGAAGTGATATCAACTTGCGATATGATAAAGAGTTATTTGTTGTGGACGGATTGTTATTTGCATGATATAAAATTGTATTTTGGGCTACTTACCCCTAGGGCCGCCAGCCTGATGCCGTTTATAAAGCGATTAACCTTGATACTTAGCGCGCTTTTGAGTCCAGAATCGGCCACCGACCAGGGCCATGTGGGATCGGCATCTTCGACGAGCAGCGAGTTGAAGACGTAGCAGGAGCCCACCTTCAGCCTTCGGAACAGCAGGCTGCAGCAATCCACTTCTTGGCGGCGCCAAGTGCACTCCAAAAACAAATCCTTGCAGGTGTAGCCAAAGTCGAATATGCTGTCTAGGTAGAGCAACGAGTGGTTATTAAATTCCTCGAACTCGCTAATGTTCAACTGTGTGGAATGGCCCATTGGGGTGCGCCAATGAATGCTCTGCATTAGATTATAGAGCAACATTAGGCGCTGCTCTCTGGCATTCGTGTGCGTGCTGGGCGTCATGTGGGTGGGGCAAATGGTGATGGCTGGGAAGGCAATCTCCGAGACGTGAACGTCGGTGCGATCGATTGTGGTCTGCACCCAGTACTGGAAGTAGCGCTCCGAGGATAACACACAGACGTAGATGGTCAGCACAAAGGCGACGCACATTAGTATGATACGAGTTACGCTGAGGGTAGCAATTGCCAGCTGAAGAGTTAAGGCCGTAATTTAGTATATTAAGTGCTTACCGTCTGATGCAGAAGCATTTGTCCTTTGGCCCAACTGGTAGCTTGTCATCATCATTGTCATCGGCATGGTCATTGCAATCAAACAACTTAATCACGGGACCCATTTCGCTGAACTGATTGACGGGCGTGGCAGTTAATCAATGAACAGCAGCGCCGGTATTAATATCGCAAGTTTATGGCTCTGCATCTATCTGTCAATGGGCTTATCAGCCAATTGAAACATAACAACTCAATTACACGAATTGTTAGCATTAATGGATGCCCAAACATACTTTCAGCCCATTGCAATTATCAGTCGAAACTTATGCGCGAGAATCGGCTAGATAAAGCCAGAGCACGCTGTCCGTCCGTCAGTAGCAAAATGGTTAAAGTGGCGAGCGCTGCCATGCCAGCGGATAAGGATAGGGATGCGGACAAGAGCTTCGTGGAGCTGGTGCGCAGCTACTTCCGGTATTATTGTGAGCGATCGACAATACACTGTGTGCGCTATCTGTACGACGCCCAGCTACATAATGTGGAGAGGTGCTGCATCTACCTCTTCGATCTTTTTCATTCACTGATATACTCTCTATGCAGACTCATCTGGGGCGTGCTGCTCGTCACTAGCGTAACGCTGTGCTGTTCCTTCTATATGCTGCTCTCGGAGCGCTATGGCGCACAGAAGCTGCAAACGGTTATTGAGGACTCGCAGTATCCGGTGTTCCACGTGCAGTTCCCGGCTGTTGGCGTCTGCACGGACAATCGCGTCAATTGGAGCAAGCTGGAGGCGGCCAAGGCACACTTTCTGCCCGCCAATGCGAGCGAGAGTGTCGTTGAGGCCTTTGTCACGCTGGTCAAATACATGACGCTGCTGAGATTCGAGAACTTTGAGTTTAGTACTTCCGAAATGGAGGATACAAACTTTGAGATTGTCGATTTCGTTTCGCTCAGTTCGCTGGCTTACTTTCTGGCGTTGCGCTGTGAGGATATTCTGGTGCCGGACTCCTGTTATTGGCGGCAGACGTCCTTTAACTGCTGCGACTACTTTCTGCTCGAGAAGACGGAGTATGGCTTGTGCTTGGTATTTAACTCGGAGCTATCGTACCGCTCACAAATGCTTGTTAAGCGCGAGGGTGCTGCCTTCTATCCGAAACACAACGCCAAGGCGGGTCAGGGCTCCGGTCTCAACTTCAACTTACTGTTGAACGACAGCTTCAAGTGCCCGGACTCGACAGTCACGGATAATGTCTTTGTGAATAGATTGCACCGTTAATTGAGTTTGCACTTTCCACTCAATTTAGCAATTTGCAGATCATGATCAAACCGCCCACCCAAATGACGAATGTCGTCTACTCCATTAGGCCCAACACAGAGACCCATGTGGCAGTGCGACCCCAGAGGACGCGCACTGACTACAACACACGAAACATACCGCCGAAGCGTCGCAATTGCTATTTCGAGGACGAGGAAGTTGACTTTGGCACGAGTCGCGTCAACAAGAGCTCCCTGATCTCCAACTGCCGCACCAACTGTCACGAGTCCTATCTGGTCAGGCTGTGCAATTGCTCGCTGCCCATTTTCTTTGTAAGAAACGAAAAAGGTGAGTGGGTCGCTTATAAGCCCTCTCTCTGTAGCTTATTTATGACACTCTCCTGGACCACAGTCAGGAACTGCACGGCCTCTAGTCTGCGCTGCATTTCACGTCACAATGGTGAGTCCAATGCCTCGGCCCCAACATCAGCAGTGGATTACCATGCCTCTTGCAGATATCTTCAGCTACGACAAGCATTTGGAGGAGGATAGTTACTTCACCGCCAGTAAGCCGGGCATGAGCTGTCCCTGTCTGGTCAGCTGCGACTTGCTGGAGTACTTTACCTCCACCACCACGCTGCCCCTGTCCCCAATGGAAATGTACTGTTGATTTACATAAATCTATAGTAAAAGTGTTCTCAGCTCTATTCCTGTTTTATATAGGCCCACATCGCCGGCCCTGAAGGTTTTCAAGGTGGACGTGCACTATCAGGTGGAGATGATGATAACGTATCGCACTAGCCTCGAGTTCACCAACATTGACTTGATTGGTATTCCTTTTGCCTTACACTATATACACATTTATGAGCACTTTCTTATTTCAGCTAATCTTGGTGGCATTTTTGGCCTCTGCCTGGGCGCTTCTATGGTCAGCGGAGTTGAGCTAATCTATTTCCTAACTGTGGGATTTTCTGTATATCTATACGATAACAATTACTACGCCATTCTACGTAAGAATCTGAAAAGTAAATGGGCCATGGGACTGCGTTACTTGCGTAACGAAGTGAGCCACACCCACCAAGGGGCGCACCCTGCGGAGCCAAAGTCCAAGAGCAAATTGCGACACCCATTTAGCAGCCGAGCCAACGCTTGGTGAATATTATTTACTTACTCAAACCAACTTTCTGCATGGATGAATATAATATAATGTAATCTAAAAGTCGAGCAATATATATGATATTCTAAGTGAAAGCTTTTACCAAACTTGTTTGAGGAAAATATTGTGAATATATTGATGTCCCTGATAGGATGAGCACAATTTTGGAATACTGTACTTATGAAGTTGATATTTATTATATTTTCATGTTCTGATCTTATCATGTTAATTTACCATCTTAATAAACAATCTTTGTGGGTGTGATTTTGTGCCGAAATTTGAGTGTTATGGGAGCTGGAGATTCTGGTACCCAAGGTTGTGGCTTGGACTTCAGGTTGTATTGATGCAAATACAAGTATAGGCCTATCGTGGCATAGTAGATCAGCTCAATTGCACTGAGGAGCGAGGCGCCAAGGAACAGACCAATAATGCCACCAAAGCTAGCTGTAATTTGAGTGGATTGATTTCCTGCAATTAACTGAGTCTTTAATGGAGCTCACCAAGCAGTTCCACAAAGGTAAAGCGCATATGTGTCTGGTACTTAATGTACCAGGATGACTGAAAGAATATGTCCAGATGCATGCTAATAGTGTCAGCAGTCAATTCCTGAGCTCTATGGGATAGAAGTGTTATCAGCAGATTGAGCGTCTGCTAGCTATACTGACTTACTCCATGGCACTGCTGCTATAGATGGTATCGTAGATGAGCTGGGAACAGCTGTTGAGGCACTCACAGGTCATGCTATCCTTGTACTGGTTGTCCACATACTCCCGCTCCAGGGGAAGCCGCTCCACGCTGAAAGTCACTTTAAGGAATATTCAGAAAGATGATGAGCTATCGGGAGAAACATTTACTTACATCGGTGTTCATACAGGCATCTGAAATCGGAGGCCTTGCACTCCGAGAAGTTATCCTTCTGATGACGGGGAAAGAGCAGAGTGGGCGAGCAGTTGCAGAGGTTGACCACGTGCTCCTGGTGGCATTTGGTTCGGCAGTTGCCACGCCAGTACACAAAGCCCGGCAGATTCTTGTAGTGTGGATCGTGGATTTCGTCGGGGAAGATGCAACGTCTGACCTTTGCAGTGAGAGCTCGAGTTCTGGCATCGGAGCCAGTGTATCGCGGCACCATGCTGATCCTATTGTGGCAGTCGTGTGGCACCAGGCGAGCTGCCTCGCTCCACTGCTGGGGCTGCTTGACCATTATGTAGATGCCACGTAAGCCAGGCTTAGTCAGTGATTTGTTCAACTGGATGTACACCTCCAAGCCGGTGCCAGGACCCGATTGGGCCGTGCGCCGTGGATAATACTTATCCTCGCGCTAAGAGCAATATACTTAAGAGAACGACTAGCCCACTAAGCCTTCTGTGCGTCACTCACCTCTCGTTGTCGCATCTCGGGACTAACTGCCGAATTGAATACCCAGCAGAAGCCGTACTCGGTGCGCTGCAGCTCAAAGATCTCGCAGCAGTTGTGCTGCTTGCCCCGCCAGGTGCAGCTCTTGAAGAAGTCATTGCAGTTCAGATTCATGGCCTCCAATACCTTAACCACATCCAATCCATCTAGCTGTCGTATCTGTCCGGCGAGGGTGGAATTCTCAAAGAAGCTTCCCAGACTGTGCATGTCTCTCAGGTGCACACCAGACGCGGCTGCGAAAAAGGTTCTGAACAGCTCCTTCTTCTCGGCACTGGCATCGGTGCCCAAAAACTCCTCCGGCGTCTCCTTCAGCAATCTCGGCCAGTTGATGCGACTGCGTGGACAGAGAGCCACAGAGGGGAACGGCACATAGAATATCGGCTGCATAGTGTCTTCGATAGTCGTGTGCACGCGCGCTGAGTTGTACAGCTTCGTCAGGTCCACATAGACAATCGTAGCACAAATGAAGGTCCCCACCAAAATCAGTAGCCAAATGAATCTAAAGAGTTGAAAAGTTGATGATTTAAGAAAGAAAACGAAAATTTATAATTATTGAATTGCATTTGCAGACATCAAAATATGTATTACTAAACCTCGTCTATAGGGCATTGCCTAGTCGGTCAGAATTGCAGTTCATACTCTAGTCTTTACTATGTTTTTTATTGCATGCCATAAAGTGTATTATTCAACATTTTATCGTCTCACCTTTCAAAAGTACGCAATTTGGGATCCGTCAAGTAACGAAAGCCATGCACTGAGGAATTGGCGCAATACTCCTTGAGATAGGGCAGCATCAGACCAACGAACCTGCCATCCTTGCAGCAGCCAGTGGCTTTCTGATGACGTGGCACAGTTTTATCGATGTAATTCCCATAAAGTGGCCGACGTGCCTTCGGTTGTGGCAGCTCCTGCGGATAGAACATTTTGCCTTGTTTTTTTGGGAGCTGCTGGAGTGCGGCGCAGCCGATGAGCAAATCGCTTTTGAGCATTCGAGTTCCATTCGCCGGGCAGACAAAGCCCCATGTACATTGAACTCAATCAAAAAGCAATTATTCTTGGTGGACAGCATAGGCTTGGTAAGCGTTGCGCTGTGTAAAGCTTAAATCACGCACACAATTAACACTTGAATGCCGTCTGGATGGGAAGGCATTCCATGGAATGGAATGGGATTGGGATGGGGATGGGGATGGCGATGGGATCGAGCTGCTACAAGCGGACAAGGACGCGCAAGATGTTTACCCAACAGTTCTGGCTGTGAGTTGGCCCTGGCTCTGGCCAACGGCAGCATAATCTCCTGTTTGTTTGACTGTTTGCACGTTCATTAAGCGACTGCCTCCATCCTGATTTGATGTTGAGGGGTTGGAGAATTTCAAGTTGCTTTCCAATTGGGGCCGGACAGGACGAGCTGCTGCTGCTGCTGCTCGTGCTGTGTGACAGATTTTCTTGCTACCAGTTGGTTGGCCGTCGGCTCCGTCGGTTGCTCGACTCTGCTTTGTGTAAACAACTAAAAATA